CGGACAGCAAATCCCAGCTGAGTTACAGTTATGATCAACTTAATTAAAGAAAAAAAAAAAAAAAGTTCTCCAACAGTTTGCAGGCGCTGTTTCATAGAGGACTCGCGAGACACCTGTGCGTAAGGCGCTGGCTGCCTTAACCCTTAGCTTGCAAAGTTGCTGCAAAGAAGATGGAGATATTTAGCCATAATATTAATAATAATAATATATATATATATATATATATATACGAGATACATTCGTTAGGCAATTTATGCATGAACTAAACATTTTTAGAATGATGACTTTAAACATAAAGCTACTGAACAGACTATAAATAAAAATGATTTTTAAAAAAGTATTTTGCGTTACATAGTTACACTGACACAGCTTATTCTCACTTTTCAGTGTTAACAGAGTTCAATGTATCTCAACTAATATTGTGTTGTATTTCGTTTGATGCTTTTCATGTGCCTGTTTTAAAATAATCTTTTTTCTAGTCATTTAGGATCAAATTAAAACAGCACTAGGTGACAACACTGTGCAGTTTTCTACGTGATAATAAAGCAGTGGTTACTGTAAAATCTCTCCTGTCCATTTGAGCAAAATGTTAGTCTCCAGAAGATGGCACCAAATTCAGTTCTTCCAGTCACTATTATCGACTGTGGTTCTGATTTGACTTCCTCTGAAAGTGTATCAAAAGGTGCAAGGGTAATCTATATTGCATTATTTCATATATATAATACATAATTTAACATTATGCATGGCATATGGTTTGTTAATCTATTTGTACAATATCTGTCTACTCTGGATAGTAACAGGTAGTAACATACTAGTGCACCTGATGGCGGTGCCATACCGGCCATCTCTTTAATATCTGAGCTGTCTGTTGTGGAAACCCAAAGATTTTTCTTCAGATTACCTTTAAAAAACTTAATATTTAAAATATAGCGACTTCAGTGTATGCCATACTGGAAACACAATTTGTCATATTGCGGAATAACACTGAGTGCAGCCAGTGAACCACACAGAGTAACAGACTCACTGAAGTGCAACTGTTGTCAAAATTCTGATATCACATAATGTGCTGTTCCAAATAAACAGATTCAGATGGTAGAGCAACTCCAATTAGGAGCCAGAGTTCATACTGTTATTTCTATGAATCAGCTACTACAAATCTTTGGAAACCAGTGAAGTGTGTTAGTAATGAGCATATGCACAAAAATACAAACATACAATGGCACAAGATAAGCAAATTTACTCATGTGGTGGCTCAGCTTTTAATAGTTTTTTGTCATTCAGGACAGGTGCAACCTGACACATCATGACAACCTTATTCAACATTTTTCAGTGGGTGATTATACCAAATGTCTCAAACGGAAATATTAAACTGCACTGATTAAAACAATAAAGACCTCAGGTGTGAGATGTATATGAGGATAACGTGTCTGTCTGTAATTCCACACTAACCAAGAGACTAATTAAACACAAAACTATGTTAAAAAATCATGTTTAATATTTAAAGCACTGTCAATGTTTTGCCACAGGTTTGACGAAACAATGACACAGCCTAAAAACCTAAGAGGTTAAAATTCAGGTCTAATTGTTCTATAGAAGAATAAAAAATTCAACATTTCAATAGCTATATGTGTGTGTGTGTGTGTGTGTGTGTTGATATGGAGTCTGTGCTTCCCAAGCTGAGTCCCTGCTGAGTCCAAAGAGGCCCAGTGCTCTCCAGGCCGAACCCTGCAGTCTCAGTCTGGTCTGCTGTCTGTCAGCCCTCTTTAACAGGCACACACATGCACAAACACTTACACACACAGGTAAGATTCAAATACCTGCATGCATATAAAAAGGGATTATATACATCATTTTACTAATTGTACACACACACACACACACACACACACACACACACACACACACACACGCAAGTGCATGCTCTTAAATGCACATAAATGCACAAACACAGTCAAGCTGTGTTTTCAGTGTCTGCTCACCCACTCGCCCCCTCTGGCCCTCCACCCCTAACCTTCACCCCTCAAGACCCTGCATTCCCAGCATAGCCGACACTGGGGCTACAGGGCATGTCACATATTGAATAAAGCCATACGGAGGACCCCACGCAGGGCGCTCCGACAGTCTATCTGCCCTCAGCACATGTATTGTCTGAAAACAGACCTTGACTTTGACCTTCCGTGTGCACCCTCACCATCTTTCTGAGCCCGGTTCAAAACAACTTTGCAACTCATGTGATGTCTCCATTAATGTCAGTTAACTAGCAATATGGAGGTTTGTTCTTGTAAAATATGTATCGGTCAACAAAGTTTAACATGGCATTTCTATTGAAAATATGGAACGTACTGGTGTTTCCACAAGCAAAAGGCCGGAAGATGTAACGCTTAAGTGATTTTCAAGAAGCTGAGGAGCAAAGATGAGTGCAAGAGGAAAGAGATTGCAGTGTTTCATGGGCTTGAGGGGTTAACAACAGTGACGTGATGAGGCTCTGACCTAACATATCTCACAGCTCCTAATTAATGTCGCATGGATTGCTTGGGTCGGCATACCACTTTGAGACTTCGTATGGGATTTTACCTCAAAGTGATCAGAAATAAGTGTCACTGCTTATAGTATACATTCACACAATGGTATATGTTTGGATGACCCTGGTATTTATTTTTTCTTCCAAATATCCTTAAATTTTAATCAATAAGCCAGCTCCACTACATCATCTGTATATCACTTGTATTGGATTCATTACCTCTGCCAAGGAGATTATGTTTTCATCCCTGTCTGCCAAAAGTACTGACCCTACGTGCACTAAACTTGGTGAAAGGACGGGGGAATGGGCCAGGGAAGAATCCATTAAATTTTAGTGTAGATCCATTTCAAGTGGTGGAAGCGGGAATTTATCATCTCAAGAGGGAATTTTTCAATATTTTCATCAATATTTGGACCCTGGTGGAGGTATGCGCTCTTCTGAATGTAATTCTAGTTCCTTACTATATTCATATTCACGATTAACAGCACTGCATAAATCAATCACGTAATGTTAGGATTTAAGCTACTGTACATTTTGCTTTAACAGTTTCACCATTAATCTCTGTGGCTTTACAGTGTCATGCATGCATTTGTGTTGTAAATAAGTGCATTATGCCTGTTAGAGAGGGGCACAAATGGACCACAGGCCATAGTCCAAGCACAACGACCAAGGCACGTACCTGCGAGTAACGTCGCCTTCTGCCTCCATTTCTAAAATGCTCTTAGGGGTTCTTGACCACACAGGTCCACAGCTTCTCTTGCCCATGACCGAGGCCTGGGAAGCTGGTGGAGCTGGCTCAAAACAATGGAAGTGTTATGACTGTTCATACTAAGCTTATTATGAGTGTCTCACTCCAGAACAAAGGAGAGAGACACGTCCAGCCACAGCAGGGCCCTAAGCTGATCCCTCAGCCCCAGTCTAGACACACAACAACATGCCGATGGACAGACATGCAGGCATACATGCCCAGATTCACAGGCTTTCAGTGAAATGTATATGACCGCCATACATTTCTTTGTCCCTATATTTAGTTTGCACATACGCACACATTTAACTTTCCCAGCACTCTTCTGCTCTGATTATGCAATATTTGTGCTCTCCAGATTGCAGTGTCTGAACATCTGCTCACCACATGAACACTATTGTATTCATTTGGCTGAAGAGGTTAAGGGTCTCACAGATACACGGATGTGTCAGTATGACCATAACTTAGGTGTTGTTTATGTTCTTTAAATCAGAAGGGGAACATAACAAAATGTCTCGTTAGTTAAGTTCATAACAGCACTGGCTTGCTGTGCAATCGCAGGTCAAAAGTGAATGGACGGGCCAAAGACAAAACCACAGCTGGACGGTACAACAATACTGAGCCTTGAACTATGAAACATTTCCAGGAATTTTTGTTTGTTTTGTTGCTAATAAGCGGTAATAAACTGGCATTTTTAATAGCTGAATGTGAGTCTGAACCACTCAATGAACATCTGCATCAGTAAGCATAGTTTGATCTTCCAGCAGTTATATATTTAACTAAATAATCAGCTTTATTTCACTTGTGCAGAAAATATACTGTACTTTACTAATATAAATTAGTTTTTCAAACTGAAAGTACATGAGTGATATCCCCAGTCTTTGACTCATGTGTTGATGCATCTCTCCATGTAATGATTACGTGTATTTGGCTGATGTGGGGTTGAGCGATATGCCCATATTGACTGTGTGACAATATACATTTGTCTTAAGATTTTGCCCTCTCATTTATGCTGAGGTAAGTATTGTAGGCAATATTACAAATCAGTGAGTGGGACTACTGTGTTCAACATTGAATGTTTGTGCAACTTTTCCATCAATCGAATGATGAGCTGTTATTTGTTGGGTATTTCGTTTGCTTGCTTAGCCAAACATCCACCTGGCTATTTTGCAATTTCCCAGCTGATTTTTTCAGAAAATGTACTAGATTGTCACGTATATCTGTACTGAGATATAAAATAACATATGGATAAGGATTTATGCATACAGCTGACCCTTAGGCTGATGGGTCAGAAAATTTAGTCAAGGCAAAAATTATCATTCAGTGGTTTATTAGAGCCAATGTGCAGGTAAGCTCTTATCCCAATCAAAGTGTATGTAATTTGCCTTTGAATGGTGCTACACTGTCAAATTCCATTGTTACTTTTTTCTAGTGTTCAATAATGAAATAATCATTAATGCAAAAGCAATGAAAAATCCATTTCAACACACAAATGAAGATCATTCTTCCCACACATTACATGTATCAGCACTGGAGAAATATAATATTCAATCATTTAAATTGTTAAGAGTGCCCAAAACTTACACTAATTTACATGGAATGGCCAAACCTGAGACGGTCTCATGTTTACTTAGCTCTTAAGAACTGAGTACTGAAGGAGCATCTTCAATACAGCAAGGTCCAAAGCATCCAGATACTCCTGCATTTCCATATAAAGATCAAATCAAAACAGCATGTTTTAAAATCATTTTTATGAGTTCAATTAAATCCAAGCAGAAAAAAAGCTATCCTGTTATCATCACTGCAAGCGGCATGTAATTCTGATTCTACAGTATGTGGCTCAACAAATACCAATATTTGCTGTTCTGCTCCCTCTAGTGGCTCTCAGCTGAAACATACATGTCGGTTCACTATTGAGGAGTTCACTGCAACATTTAGCTGGTCCCTTCATTCAAAGTGAGAATTAAGATGGAAGTTTCACATTAAAATAACTGCAATAGTCAGATGGTTGTAGGTTTTTCTAAGACACAAAGCCAGTGTGAGAGAAAAAGAGGGAAGAGCCCAAGTAATTCACCATGCTTTATCAAAGAACAGATACAGGTCTCCAGAACAAAAACTCACAACTTTTAACAGTGCCTAAGATTATTTCTACAAGTACACAGGACGTACTGTATATAAAAATATCAGACTCTGAATGCATAGGTTAAGTCAAACTGTATTCTGCTTTTTCTAGAACAGTAAGCAACCCCACAAATACAATGTTGGTCATCTCATTCCCACAGAATCAGAGAAGATCCTATAAAAACCCACTTCAAACATGCTGCTCTCACTCATCCAGGGCACCAGACGGCCAGCGGGGTGTTTTCTCCCACATTGCCCCACTTTCTCAACCAAGCTCCTGCCTCAAACATGTGGCACAACTTCACTTAATAAAGCATTTAACATAGTTGGGAACATAAAATAAGCACTCTTGGCAGTCCCTTCTTCTCACAGCAAACTTTCTGGAAACACATTCTTTTCCCTCCACATTGCACTTGGCTTCAACAATAGCTTCTCATTCCTTTTCATCCTATTGTTGAACTCTTGCTTGCACGATAGTAGACTTTTTGACACAAAACGTAACAGGCCTAGCTGGTTAAAGAAAAAATTATACAAATTAATAAAAAATATATCATAAAACATACAAATACAGTAAGAGCTTCAGGTATACATATGAACAGTAAACAGTTACCACTGGGTAAGAAACTTTTTGATTGTAGGACGTGTAGTGAGCGCGTAGTGCACTGCTTCAAATAAATGAGACCCAGCATTGAGAATTAAAGGAATATAAGGTGTTGATGAAAGCAGCATAAACATCATTACCGTCTGACACAACATGGCTGTGCCACTTGACTTGTCATGACTCAGTTAAATTCTTAATATAAAGCAGAACATCTTTCTCTTGCCATTAGTGTAAATAACCATGTGGTCAGTCTCCATTTAATACAGATAGCAACACCTCTAGTTAAGGTACCAAATAGAAAACCTTACACAACTCAAAATTATAATTTTTTTAAAATAAAGAATTACATATTAGGCCTAGTCTAGCCATGACAACCAAACTGAAGCCATATATAGTGATATTCTGTCTCGCTTTCAGTCATAACATTTTTAAAGAAATGTAGTCACCATATAGATAGTCTAGGATTCAACTGTGGTGACACGGTGCAACAGAGATAAACATATGAGAAATGGTACTAATTTGGATTAGTGTTGGAGGAACAAGGAAGCACTCAATCATAAAACCAAGATCCTTTGCTATGTCTTACTTCTTTCCTCTTCACTTTGGGGGGGAAAAAAACAAACTTAACAAAGCTGCATACTTTACTGAAGCATTGATAGTTTTTTCTGCAGTTAGTATCTTTGCTGGCTAGATTAGTTTTTGGTTTTGATTCTAATTACAGTTACACAGAAACACAGGAACAGAAAATATTCAACAGAGGGCTTAATTTATATGATAAATTAAGTGTGAGCCTCATACACCTTTGCTGGGACTTGAGCCTTGTTACTCCAGAGCGCAAATGCACGGTCTCTCTTTATTAGTAAGAATCAACATGACTCAAAAATGAAAAAACTAACATAAAATACTTCACAGTTAGACAGAGTGTTATGCTGACTGAATCGTGTAATACACTCTGCAAAGCAGAGGCGATAATGTATTATAGAAAATAAAAATAAAATAAGTCCTGCTTCAAGTTGCTGCACGTTTATCTCTACAATAAAAATGAAGTTTTTGTCTTACATGAAAAGACACACAGGAGAACAATTCAAACAAAACTAATTATTCCTTTTCCACAGTGTACAACTGAATGACTTAAATATGTAGGGAAATCACCACTCCTACTCAAATGTATCCATCTTTGTGTGGATACAGATTAAAGCATACTGTATGTGTTGTCAGCAAATAAAATTACTATTAGTCCAAAATTACCTAAATCTCTCCTGGTGTGAGATTACCCCCACCTTAACAATTAGGCCAGTAATGGGTGCCCTCCGCAGGAAAAGACACTAAGGTTTATGCCTACAGCATGTATGAAAGTGTGTACGCCAGCTAGAATATCTGATAAGACTCTCTAGGTAAATTTGTTAGAAATCCAAGTTGCCATGTGAAAGTCCACTGTGCTGCAACTCGTCCTGTTCTGTGGACTGATGATAATCTTATCTGTAAGAGTTATGTAAATCCTTCCTGTCATCCTCTGCACCCGGTCTCATCTGACCATTTTCCTCTGTGATCATAGTTCACAGCCAGTATAGGGATGTGTCCATATAAGGCTATTGCAGAATCCCATTCAAGTCCAGTCCATAAGGAAGACAGGCCAATGTTCCCCTCTGTTGTCCCACTAGAGCCTTGGCACAAAGTGCAGTGGGAGGAGAGAAAGAGATAAAGAGGAGAGAGGGGCCCAAATACTTTCGCACATAATCGAGTACACCATGCATCAGTAATCGCTTAGAACTGGTTGGGTACACTAAAGCGGCAGGAGGGCCAGAAGAGGACAGGAGGAGGACAATAGCTACAGAACTCGAAAAAAGAAATCCCAGTTAGAAATTGGCTAAACACCAAAGCCAAACAAAGCTGTAACAAGGGACCTGGGCAGGCAACTAGTTATGGTTGCTTGAGGGTAGCTACAGAAGCCCATCATAAGCGGGGAGACCTCGGGCTCTGTGGTAGCTCTAGTAGGTGAGGCGGGAGGCCTTCATGTTGTAGCAGGGTCTGTCTGTTAGGCCCCCGGTCGCAGAGAAAAGGGACAGGCCCTCTGCTTTCTCCAACACAACCTCCAGCTCCTGAAAGTCCTGCAGCCGAGCTACGTCCTTGTCCTGGACAGGGAAGGGAGGGAAAAAAAAAAAAAAAAAAAAAAAAAAAATCAAAATTAAAATCAAACACTATCTTAACTGCTAATCATTCAGTTTTATCAGGACAACGGTATAGAAAGTAACTTTGAAATGATTAAAAAGGTTTAATTTTTCTTCCTCAATTAACATCCAAAGTGCATAGAAAAGGAGGGAAATTAAAGCATTATCTCAGGGTACAATTGTAATGCATCTACCAAACATAATTAGCAAATTTTCACTGATTCACTTAACATATCATCATGTTGCTTTGGGAAATTGTAATGTGGCATTTTTCTGACATTTCACAGTTTAAACAATGAATTGAAAAAATAACAGACACATTAATCAACACTGAAAGTAAACGTTAATCAAAGCCCTAAGCCAAAAACCTTCCATTTAACAATTACTTTCAATCTGGCCAGGCGCTACACTGTCATTACTTGTCAGAGGCAGTAATGACACAAATACAGTGTACACAGATGGTAAGGGAGATTTCAGTAAGGTAAAGTGAGTCACAAACAACCTAATTAGAGAGTTGGGGCAGTGTCACTTGCAGTGTGCATGCATGAGTCAGACAGACAGAGAGGGAGGCAGAGACAGAGAAAGACTGAAGAGCAAAACTGTTGGAATATTTTTAAAACCCAACAGGACAGGGAGCCTTTTTACACCATGCATTATTATTCTTTCGCTCACTTCTATTTTGGGGGATAATCCTGCTCAAAGTTTTAGAACTACAGTTCCCATAACACTTTGGAGGAATCATTTTTCCATGGAGTCAGTTGGTTAGCTGTGGGCTACAACTGAACCTAAGCCTGTGTGTTCGGATTTTACCAAGTTCTGACTCCAGGAGGGAGAATGAATTTAGATGCAAATTGTTCAAACCGAGGGCTAAGGGTTTTAAAGTACCATAATTGCGTCTCACCACACACACTGAATCTTTGCTTCAGACATATAAAAAAAATGGATATATAATTTGCAAAATCCATATTTTGCCATTATGAGTTGTGAATTGTAAATATGCATTTTCATACATGACACTAGATGACAACAAAAACTTGTGTACAGTATGCAGCCTTCTTTCCCATACCTTCCTCAACATGGTGTTTGGCAGCTTGCGGATCTTCTCCACATGTTCAGCACTGATGTCTAACTCACGGCAACAGACCCTCAGAAGGGAGCGATAGGTGAGCTCCTGGCGGTCCAGCTCCACCTCAATGAAGTCGTTCTCTCGTGCGTTGGGGTTCTGGATGCGCACCTTCAGCACCAATTCTAGAGAGAAGAACCAGAGCGATACCTCTCTATTAACAAAGATATTGTGCTTTTTAAGAAGTGGATGGACATAGCCCAAGGTGAGAGACACCAATTTAATCATACCAAACGCATGCTTATGAATGACATGTCTTATACATAAGATATCACAACCTGAAATGATAACTCCAGTTTCTCCACCCTAATGCACATTCCAAGCAAATATTTGCTTTGTTTCATAATTTCTCTAAAACTTAGGGAAAACTTGAACAACCTCTCCCATCTCGTGTTTAAAAAATGTTACACTGTATGATGGGATAGACTGTTAAAGATGTTTCTGCCTCTACTAGTGAGCCTGTGACAGTTCAGTCATTATTGTGAGTGAGGTTATGTCCACTAACAACCCTTTCTGGTTTGACAAGATGGCAAACAAGAGTATTGTCATGTCTGCATTCCTATCAGCACTTACCTGAGAAGAAGTAGCCACTTAAACATAAAAAAGGAAAGCCAGTCTACAAGTGTACGAGAAGCTTTAGCACTGTACACACATATGGACTTAAAATGGCGCCAGCATGATTTTCAAGAGTTTATTCATAATGAATGGTATCCTGTCTGTCTCCACTCTGTGTATGGAAAGGGATTACAGATAATAAAACTTGAGATTTCTCTCTCACCTTGCACATTGACAGGGAAGGTGCTAGTGAAGAAGAAAGGCTGGAAAGCTGGCATGGGCCCACCAGCCTGGCTGTAGCTCAGCTGCTGTGGGATAGACTGCTGCCTGCTCATGGTTGGGTTAGCGCTGGCCACTGGGGCCTGGACCTGGCTCCCACTGCTGCTGGCCAAGCTGGGGCTGGGTGAGGCCAATGGAGGCGAGCACATGGTGCCATTGTGTGGCACCGCATGTGGGTAGTCAGCATGGTTGACAAGGTGTGGCTCAACTGACAGGTCCATGGGCACTGTGCAGTTAACAACAGCGTGGTTGTGGGATGAGGCCGGACTGGGTGATGCGCCATTTTGCTCAGTCACAGGAATGAATTCCCCAGCCGGGGCTTGGCTGTGGGTAGTGGGGTCTGAGGGAGGAGTGGGGCCGTCAGAGAGTAGGCTCTGTGATTTCTGAGGCTCATGAGTTGGAGAAAGGGAGGGTGAATCGCTGTGTGTGTCCTCAGCATGTTCTCCAGAACCATTCTGTGTAATTTGCTGTGCTAGGATGACCTCTGACTTGTTATCCATCTTGGAGTACATGAAGGGAGGGTTAGACAGGTAGTTGGGAATGATTGGCAACTCAGGCTCCTTGACTTCAGGCACTTCCTCCACCTCAACTGTGGCAATAGTACACATAAAAAAGAGGATTATTCCTTTGAACCAGAATAATGCAATAACTAAGACGAAGAAGCAAATATACAATCAACACTCAATGCGCTAACCTGTAGCTTATATGTCAAAGTATTACATGGACTGCATCTGACACACCACATGCCACTAACAAATAATGACTAACAATGATGTGACAGAGCAGGAGACAAGGGAGAGAGAAATGTGTAGTTTACCTCCTAACAGTCGTTTGATCTCTGGTTTGGATGTTAGTTGAGAGGCTAGCTCATCCTTAGCTGTGAGGATTTCTTTGTCTGCTCCATAACTGATTAAGAAGGACACTATGTGCTTATGGTTCCTCTTGCATGCCCAGTGCAGGCATGTCCTGGTGGATTATTGAAGAGAGAACACAGTTTAATGAGCCAAAACACTGCAACATATCATATGATAAAATGACTTTGTATTCATAAATAGGTCTATTACTGGAGTATAACTTGACAATCACATTTACATGGTTGCACCTGTCATCATTGTGCTTGTAGGGCACTGGCATACAGAATAAAAACACATTACCTCACATTCACAAGGATGCAAATAAACTTTTGAGCATGATTCAAACATCACCACAATGATTATGGGCACAGACAACAAAGAGTTAGTTATATCTGCATAAAGAAGTTGGAACTTGACAATGTTGTTTAATCATCTAAGTTTATGCTCATAACATTGTACCGCACATGCAACACTGTTCAGGACCTAATGTTTTTATTTAATTGTGTGAAGTTATTTTATGTTAGTAATATGATAATCAAGTCAATACACTAACTGTGGCAATGATAACAGACTCGTTTAGTCAGTTTCTTTCTCTTGTCCCTTCTGTTTTGAGAGGGCCAGAACAATGTCACTTTAAAGCTAACAGGGCATTTATTTGCAGATTGGATAAGTGATATATAAGATAGCAGGTCTAGCTTACTAACAAGCCTTGCTTTGCCTAATAAGATAACACTAATCGACTTTAATCCCTGTTAACGCCACGTTTGACTGCAGTGAACTTTTCAACAAACACCAAAAAACTGAATATTTATAAAAATGTGAAGCAAACCAACACTTGTTCTCAATACTCACCATCCATTTATTTCGTTCTGTGAATTAACATTTACTCCGCTCTCCACCAGTGTCCGCACTTCGTCGATATCACCGATGGCAGACGCCTCTCGCAGTCGCTCCTGTAATTCTTTATCCAACGAAGTCGTGGACATTTTGGTATAGGCAACTAGTGTTGTGAGATCATAGGATATACAAAAGCCTCTCGGATTAAGTTGTCAATACTAATCGCCTGACGAATTTCCTACCGATGGCACACTGGGCCACTAAAAATAGCCCTGCCAGCTAACATTAGCTACTCGGCTAACCTTACCTACTGGCTAGCTTGGTGAGGTGCTAGCAGAGTCTTTGGTGCTAGCTTGTGGCAGAAAATCGCTTTGGCTAACGTAACTTCGTGTTGATAGTCGGAGTCTTTGGCGTTTATCCAGCACGTTCCGTCATTTATTTCTGTTGTTAGTTCACGTTATGGTACCACTGCCAACACTCGATACACTCATTCAATCCATCAGTGGTGTCAACGCTCTATCAGCGGGCTGCCAAAAACACCACCGCCTCATCGGGGGGCATTTTTAGATGTAACAACAGTGAGTACAAACGTTAGTTCCCCTCTGAATTAGCTCAGTTATTTCACGCGATTTGGTTCCTCTTAACGAAACTCGTAAGGCATGATCCAGTCACATCATTAAGTAAATAAAGAGTAAGAATAAGTAAATAGAAAGTAAAGTAAATAGTGAAATAACCGTGAATAAGAAAATGTTTTTTTTGTTGTTTTTTTTTTAAATTCTTACTAAGTCACAATATTCACACACACACACTTATATTATATTATATCCCGTGCTCAGAAAGTCCCACTGCATAATCAGGTGTGAGCAACAAAAATAACGCCATATAAAATAGGTTAAAAATTCTACTTGTAACTTCAGTGTCACGCACTGTGTGGGAACTTTGAGCACCAGGTTTCTGGTGATTTCTCATGCAAATTTATTTTACAGGTTTACAAAGTCTAATTTACAACTACATTTGGAATTATTTGGGAAACATCACTTTACAAGCTCAAAATCATTAGGACCCTAATTTGAGCCTATATGGGAATAGGGTGTAGTCATGTGCATGACTTACCATTTCTTGCTGGTTGTGGGGGACCAAAGGTGTGGGTCTAGCTTGAGGTGGATTCTCGTATTCCTATGAAACATGTAATTATATTAAATAAAATGCCTTTGCCTTGCAGGGCAAACAAGAACATTTTCTTCACAATTCAATATCTTAAGAATACAATATTGAAAAACATTAATTTTTACTTAAAATTTGTTCAAGCACAAACACCAGTGGTGACATTTAAAAGTAAAGCTAACAACAGCTTGAGTATTATTAAGCAGTTTTTATTTCTTAAAAATGAAGTGTTTTTCCAAATTAATTTTCCATTTCCAGGTTTTTGCCCACATTACACTTTGATTACTCACACTCAAGTTAAAACACAGACATTGAGCCTAACTTGACTGATATTAACACATTTGATGCATAGAAAACATATTTTGATTGCTTTTAGAGTAATTACTATAAATGTATGCTTATAATATTAAATACAATCATGTATGAGAAGCTGCCTAGGCCAAAACTGAATACTTCACTTGCACATACTGGTACTAAGCACTTGCACATGTATGCACACTATCATGCATATACATACAGTTATGCATATACATACATGCAAATATTATATATTCATAAACACAAACATAGGTACACATGCATGCATAACATGAGAATGAGGGTATATGAGTGTGAGAATGTATGTATATGTGAGTTTGAGTATTTATGTATCCAGAAAGCACCACAATTAGAGGTAGGAACAATTAGGAAGTTACTACTACTAGATGGCACACCAACCACCAATAAACATGAAAGAAGGAGTAAAGACACAGGTGGAGGCAAAATGCATTATGGCGATCAACAATTCAGCTTAGGCTGAAGCGGTCCCTTTACTGCAGACTCTGATAGGGATTGAAAATAAATGAATTTTAAAAAGGTGCTACTTTGGCTGTAATGCAGCCCCTTCTCCCTTTCTTTAGTCAGCACTCTGTGGTCTGGAGCAGTGTCCCGCCCACTGCACCATCTGATTGGATATACCTCAAGAGTAATAGCCTATCATGCTCGTTATTGTGTACACAAACGGTCACAGACTAGAGCAGCTCCAGTTAAAGTAAGACATGGCTGAAGTTGTAATAAACATCACAATCCTCTACATTGAAGTTACAACAACACCACACTGCGATGAACAAGTTCATCTATTGATCCAAGACACACCGAGCAAGAGAGAGACAAGCTATCGCTAACTGCTTATCTAAAGTAACTAGCACATCTGAATAGATAATGTGCGTTACCAATCAGATGGTGCTGTGGGTGGAACCCTGCTCCTGACCAGAGTGGTGACTACAGATAGGCGGCTGGATTGAAACCAAAGTAGCATATTTTAAAATTAATTTATTTTCAATCCTTATCAAGCAGGGTCTGCAGCAAAGAGCTGTATTGTTGACCATCATGATGCATTTCGCTTGCACCTGTGTTTTCACTCCTTTTATGTTTATTGGTGGTTGGTCTGCCACCTAGTGGTAGCAAATTCCGTTCGAGGTGTAGTGCCTTCCTGATACATACATACTAAATCACACACACATGCACTAAATTACACATATACTTATACAGCACACACACAGTAATTATTATAAATGTATGCTCAAAATATAAAAAAACAATCATGTTTTCCCTTATACAGATATTTATTTGTCATATTCAAACGTTTGTGTTTGAATATTTTACATTCTGGTCAGTAGACATCGCACTGTTCATACGAAGCATCAAGAAATGAACATTTTCTCGAAAGACATTGTTGAGAAAGTGAATTCAAAGTCTCCGACGCTATCGGACTTACCTTCGGTACCGGGCAGTTGATGTAACAGCCTGGGTGGTGTGTCCGAGTGGTTTGACCGCGGACTGTTCTCAGAGCCAGGTGTAGGCTTAGTACGGCCTGCGTTTTGTTTTCCGAATTTATATCCATTTTGGCGCGTTTTCGGGCCAATGCCCAGTATGTGCGCAGTCCCTAAAGACAGACAGCTGTGCGCACCTGTGCTGCTTCCCTGCACGCCCCGTTTCCTGTTCCCCTGATTTTCGAAACTGTCACAAGTATGAAAAGTTTCCCCTTTTGTTCCCCAGTTTACTTTTCTTGTCATTCAAATTCTTCTGGCAAAGTGTGGACCAAGAGATTCGGCTGAAGTGCGGTCCGACTGGTTGTATGAGTCCAACAACCCACAACCAAGCGTGATGTACGCTGATGTACGTGCACGACGGCCATTACTGGTGGGCCTGAATGCCGTTTGTTCATTTCCTGCTATTTTCCCCATGTCACCCTTTCCCTTTGATGGAGGATAGAATCAGATTATATTACATGCTTTTTTTATTAAAAGACACATTTACACAACATGAGTACTCACATTCTCATGGACACAGAGTAAAGCAGCAAACATGAAGTCCACAAGCAGCTGCAAAAATCCATAAAGTGCTGAGGTAAGTGAAGGTGAACTGCAAGTATAAGTCCAACAGCAGCTTTGCAGGAAGTTAAAGTTACTAATAAATAAGAATCACAACATTCATAAACATACAGTTAATTCACTTGAAAGCAATTATGACTAAATGAAAGGCTTAAATGTCACATATGTTATTCCTGTGCCCAATAACAGTTAGGTCTGTATTATCTCTCCTAGAGAATCCATATATTAACACAAGGGGCACTGACTTTGTGAAGTATCAACAGTTGTGTATTCCATTAAAATATTGATTAAATGACAGAAGTGACAAATGAAAATGTAAAAATAAAGTATCTATCTATCTATCTATCTATCTAATCTGTAAATATAAAACACCTTCCACAAATGGACTGGGTGATTAAAATAAACTAATTGTTAAAGAAATAACACCAATGTGGTTTATTTACAATGCATCTTCATCATCATCACAGTGTATAAAATCCAGCACACTGCTTTCATTCCCTCAGTCCGCAACATGATTGTTTACTGTCGCCATGGCAACGGGTTTAGTAGTTAACGTTAGCTTAGCCTACACATGGAATGAATACTAAAATTGCAATACATCATTTCTTAACAAAACATATCAACCCCAATTATAAAAGACCTTAACCAGGTCCTGTCACTTCATATCTTATAACCGTCAACGTAGTGCACGTTACTTGTCGCCAATATTTGGGGAAATAAAGCAGCTCATTGAAGGCTGCGAGCTCATGCTTTAAAAAGCGGAAATGACGTGTCAGCAGGCGATCATGTCTTTTCCGATTGTGGCCGAGTGATACAAGTCGACTTTCGTTCCGACTGGAGGAAAATCTGTCTCAAAACTCTGTGTGTGTAAAATGCAAACCCAAAAGCGTAGAATTGTGTTCCACAAATGCTTTTTCGCTTCACAAATGGAAAATTGATTCACAAATGTCTGCTTGAAAGTTTTAAATGTTAGGAAGGTATTCACAAATGTCTGTTTTTAATTTTTTTGTAAATTCATTGACTGTATTCACACATGTGTTTTAATCATGGAATTTGTTTGTATATTTTTGCATATCCGTTTTATATTTGCAAGATATTTTTGTGAGTTTACAAATGTATTTTTTGTATTTGTTGAAGGTGCTTTATATTTACAGATTACACGTTTACTAAATGATCAATCTTCACATGAATATAACTGAGACAAATCTAGGTCCATAGACAAGAGATGAAAATGTGTTGACAACAGGATTGAAGAAAAGAGGAGGAAAGGAGAACAGAGTCATTATCAGTAGATCAAGTAAAATACTGTACTATAATATTACAGTACATGTCCATGTTGTTTATCCTATGATGCTATTGTAATATGAAATGTAATATCGTTAGAGTGAATGTTCTTCTGTTGGCCTAATATTCAGTTCACAGAAGTGAAGACGTTTATTTCATCTTGTTGTGGATCCATGACTGCTCAGTTAGAGCAGCACATATGATGGTCTGGGTTTAAATGAAGATTTGTCAGCTAAACATTAAATCTGGGACCTCTACTCTGGCAAACCAAATAGGTTTCAAGATTAGTTATGCTGTTTATGCCAAATTCATTCCCCACATACAGTATGTCATGTAAATTCAAAAATAATAATATCAGAACATTTTTGCCTCTTTTTTTATGTGGCAGTAGTGAAAATCAGTCATTGTCAAATTTGTTATGTTGTGGTTTCAGAATGATGGAGACAGAGAACAATTAGATTCACAATATGATGCAGGCTCTGGATGATTTTTTTCCTGAGCAACGATCATGTTTTCCCAAAATGATGTACAAAATGGCTTGATACAGTAAATACTGGATGTAGCGGCTCTGAATGGGAAGGAAAAAATCCATGAATCCATGAGCCTCGAACGTTTACAATGTCTGGCTCCGCCCCTGGTCAGCCCTGAGACGCCTAAAGCAAAGCAAGAGGGCATTTGACTGTTTCATGCACAGTAGGTGCTGCATATTCTTTGTATGACACTGAGTA